CTCTTATTCCAACATCTAAAACTCCTTGATGAAAGTGAAAATATATGCTGAAGCAGGGGTCTCCAACCTTGGCAAACATTAGGCCTGGAGGACTTCAACTCCCAGAATTCCCCAGCCAGAATTCTGGGAGTTGAGTCCTCCAGGCTTAATGTTGCCAAGGTTGGAGACCCCTGTGCTAGAGCATGGAAGAACCTGAGCTCAATATTTGACTATGAGACTTCTTCAAGAACAGCAAGCACCAGATGCATTGCTTCTAAGACAAGGATAGACAACCAGAGAACTAGCTGTATATGGTCCTTATCTCCTCTTAATTTGCAGCTCCAGATCCAATACGATTTCCATTGCCCCCAGAAGGTTGCGCTGTGTACATCCTCAAATAAACATACAGAAGACCAAACAGAAATCCAAATTCAGGTGTGATCCTGTCGTAATTGTCCCAAACTGGGATTTACTATTCCTTGCGAGATCTACAATTTGGGCAGTTCTTCACATTCAGATTTGGATTGAACTCGATGACATTTTGAGCCACATCCTGCTTAAAATCTCCATTGAGTAACATCCGCTTGAGTCAGCTCTGTTCTTTACTTTCTGATAGGCTAGATAAGGTTCTTGGATCTATGCGTACTACTGGTATATTAAAACTTGACTTTAAAAGAGCTCTAAGGATTTGTCTGCCCAATGACTGGCCAGATAATTATTTATCCTTTCTTCAGTGTGGAATCTTTAAAGGAGATGGTTAGTGGAGTTCTTGCTTAAGAAATCATGTTGAAATCACTTTAAACAACTTTTAGCCTATGGCCCAGTGGTGGGTTCCTACCGGTTCGGTTCAGCCGAACCAGTAGTGGTTTGGCGGCCTGGGTCACTGGAACCGGGAGCGACGCAGGCCTGCCACGCCCCCAAACCGGTTCTCCTGGTGGCGCTGTAGGCACTGCCCTCTTCTTTTCCGCTTCTGCGCATGCACAGAAGCATTTTTGTTGAACTGCGCATGCACGAGCAATGTGCATCAAGTGAGTGTGTGAAGCGCACACAATCGAACCAGTAGTACTGACTGCCGGAACCCACCCCTGCTATGGCCAATATTCCTTATTTGGCAAAGTGGTTGGAGAAAACAGTGCTGTTGCTACTCCAGGAATTTTTAGATGAAATCAATTGTATTGATCTCTTCAGTGTAGGTTATGACCTAACCTTCACCTCAATTGTCCTGATGGATGATTTATATCAGAGGTATCCAACCTTGGCAAATTTAAGACCTATGGACTTCAACTCCCAGAATTCCCTGGTCAGCCATGGTGCAACCAGCCATGCTTGAAGTCTACGGGTCTTAAAGTGGCCAAGGTTGGACACCCCTGATCTATACTAAGAGAAAAAACACAGAACAACCTTCATATCATCTGGCAGCTCCTGGTACTGCAGACTATGCTGCTGCTCAGCAGATGTTTCCTTTTCCCCTGGAATGATTTAATGTGGCACTCCTGGAAAGTTGTCTTTTCTTCTATGTTATTTAGCACCGAATGAAGCCACTGGGAAAAATCCTTCCCAGGTTTGGACCTTTTGTGTGTGTGTGTGTGTTGATGATTTTGAGTCCCTGCTGATTCCTGTTGCCTACTTGGATTTCTGAAGTGGCTTGTCATTGCCATCTTCCTAGGGCCAAAAGAGGGACTGTCCAAAGTTACCGAGCTGGCTTCATGTCTAAAGCAGAATTCATGGTCCCGCAGTTTCTGTCTGGTGCTTTGACTACTACACCAAACTGGCTCTCTTTAAGTATCACTACCATGCTGATTACTTAGTTATACTTCTTTTCTGTTCTCTTAGATGTCTCAAGGAATTGGCTGTGGAACATAATATGACACTAAACTCAAAAAATTGGAGCTGCCTTCTGCCCAAAGATATGTACCCATGTAGTAGGCTGTATTGCTGTTATTCTTGTCATCTTCTCACCCTTGTCATCTTCTCATCTTTCTCACCTCTCATCTTTCCTACTACCTTCTCCTATTTGTATATTATGATTTATCAACTGTTGTAATCTTAGGATTTATGATCTATGACTTATCACTTTGTTGTTTGTATGTACACTGAGAGCTTATTCACTGGAGACAAATGCCTTGACCAATAAATAATTCTCCTGTCCAGTGGTGGGTTTCAAAAAAATTTCGAACCTACTTTGTGGGTGTGGCCTCCTTTGTGGGAGTGGCTTGCCAGCCATGTGACCTGATGGGAGTGGCTTGCCAGCCATGTGTTCTCTCTCTCTCTNGCTCTTGTTCAGGTGGGACGCGGTGGCGCAGTGGCTAAGACGCTGAGCTTGTCGATCAGAAAGGTTGGCAGTTTGGCAGTTCGAATCCCAACGCCGCGTAACGGAGTGAGCTCCCGTGACTTGTCCCAGCTTCTGCCAACCTAGCAGTTCGAAAGCACGTAAAAAATACAAGTAGGAAAATAGGAACCACCTTTGGTGGGAAGGGAACAGCGTTCCGTGTGCCTTTGGTGTTGAGTCATGCCTGCCACATGACCATGGAGACGTCTTCGGACAGCGCTGGCTCTTCGGCTTTGAAATGGAGATGAGCACCACCTCCTAGAATCGGGAACGACTAGCACATATGTGCGAGGGGAACCTTTACTTTTACCTTACTCTTGTCAAGCTGTGAGGGTTTGTGAGTTGTTTGTCTATGTGCAGCCAAAGGGCTTAGCTAGACAAAGCCCAGGACCAAACTGAATCTTTTCCATATCTAATTGCTGCAGTGAGATTATTTCATGTTCTTGAAAGGCAAAGATTTGACACTATGGATGGTGAAATTGACAGCTCTCAGCGGAATTGATAAATTAACTTCTTTGATTAGGAAAAAAGGCACCATCTCTGTTTATTGATGACCTGAAACCTCTTATGGATTTGGGGTATTAAAATGAGGGGGAAAGCAAACTGGTGATTTATGGTTTTGATCTGCAAGCAAGCTCCCCTTATATAAACAAATGCCTCTCCTTTCTAACATGGATGACGTTACCTAGTTGGGTAATGAAACGTCTGCAAGAAAACAACCAAGCTCAGAGAGCACCAAGGACCCCACAGTTCCTCCACCTCTTCCTTTTCCCTCTTCTCCTCCCTTTCTCCTTGTCCTCCTCCTCCTCCACTCTACAAACCCCACTCCCTTCCAGCACTGATGATGTTACCTTGTTGGGTAATGAAACATCTGCATGAAAACAATCAAGCTCAGAGAACACCCAGGACCCAAAAATCTTCCTCCTCTTCCTTTTCCTCCTCCTCCTCCCCTTCTCCTTCTCCTCCTCCACTCCGCAAATGCCACTCTCTTCCAGCACTGATGATGTTACCTAGTTGGGTCATGAAACATCTGCATGAAAACCATCAAGCTCAGAGAGCACCAAGGACCCCACAGTTCCTCCTCCTCTTTCTTTTCCTTCTTCTCCTCCCTTTCTCCTTGACTTCCTCATCCTCCACTCTGCAAACCCCACTCCCTTCCAGCACTGATGATGTTCCCTAGTTGGGTCATGAAACATCTGCACGAAAACCACCACGCTCAGAGAGCACCAAAGACCCCACAGATGTCATTTTATGGATGCTTGGATGCCCATGGTGTATTTCGGTGACTGGTTTCACCTTCTCCTAAGATATCCCCCCCGTGGCAAACAGTGATCTGGAAATCCAGAGCAGCCCTGGAGGAGATACGGTGATTAAGGTGGCAGGGAAGCATTTCAAAGATGCCATCGATAACATGCAAACATCCAGAGCAGGCATTCCTTAAAGCAAGGCAACTTGACCACATGGTCTGTTCCCCTCATCCAAAGCCATCTGTGAAAGCAATAGCAATAGCAGTTCGACTTATATACCGCTTCATAGGGCTTTCAGCCCTCTCTAAGCGGTTTACAGAGTCAGCATATNCTATTCTCCAAAGCACCTGAGGGCAGGACAAGAAGCAATGGGTGGAAACTAATCAAGGAGAGAAGCAACTTAGAACTAAGGAGAAATTTCCTGACAGTGAGAACAATTAATCAGTGGAACAACTTGTCTCCAGAAGTTGTGAATGTCCAACACTGGAAGTTTTTAAGAAGATGTTGGATATCCATTTGTCTGAAGTGGTGTAGGGTTTCCTGCCATGCATGTGGTTGGCTTTTACAGGTTGTCCTTGTCTTACGGCCACAATTGGGATCACCGTTGTTAAATGAATTGCAGCTGATTTTACAAGCCTTTTGGGCCATTGGTTGTTAAGTGAGTCATGACAGTTGTTAAGTGATTCATGCGGTCGTTTTGCTCCGGACTGCAGAATTAATTGATTTAAAAGCTAAAGACTAATTTCTTTTTGGTGGTTGAGATTGCATAAAATCTTTTTGAAGGACAGATGGATACAAAGGAAACCAAATCTGGGAGGACCACGGCTTCCATTTAAGGAGGGGAAAAGACAAACCATTTCCACAGATAGATTTCCATCCCAAATGGAATGACAGCATGCTAAAATTATCAGCCGGGGTGAATAAAGGGGTACCAGTTGCCCTTGGATAGGAGGAAGGGTGGAGGATTAGGCGGTGAGTAAACCATTTTTTAAATATTTATTTGGCCATTACCATGGAGATACAGCTTATTAACAACTCCTGGCTAAACTACGACCTCGGTTGAAATATATCTTGTCATTGCATGACTTGGAGAAGCAAAGATCATTTATCCTTCTGGGTTCCCAACGTGTTCTTAACCAAGAGAAAATAAACACGGCCAACTGCTGAGTGCACTAAATAGCGAAGCCTGAATCTTCTTTCCGAGACCTTGGCCCAATTCCAACCTCCATTTGTTGACATTACCCCTAATGTATTGCTTGAGTGCCTTTGTTTAGACCAAGTTGCTTTTACCGCAGGACTTGGCATCCAAACTGAGTTGATGTACTTATGTTCTTCTCGCCATGATGGAGGATGAGTCAAGAAGCGGTGTTTAAAAGAAGAGTTTTATTTAAAGTAAATCGCTTTCCCCCTCCCTGGCTTTCTCAGCCTCGGGTCATCCCATTCCTAAGGGAATCCCTTTGGAGTTCTAGTAAACAGAAAGAAATAGCAAGCGGTGCCTGCTGCAAGTTGTCCCATGATAGATACAGATGGCAGGGCTGTCCAAGTGATAAATACTGCCTGCAGCCCTGGAGGATGATGTTATTAGACCAAAGAGCCATTTGCAGTCCTAGAACCAGAGGTGGTATTCAGCAGGTTCTGACCAGTTCTGGAGAACAGGTAGCGGAAATTTTGAGTAGTTTGGAGAACTGGTAAATACCACCTCTGACTGGCTCCATCTATTCTCTGCCTCCCGAGTCCCAGATGATCGGGAGGAAATGCAGATTTTGCAGTAACCTTCCCCTGGAGTGGGGAGAGAATGGAGATTTTACAGTATCCTTCCCCTGCTACGCCCACCAAGCCATGCCCACCAAGCCACGCCCACTAAGCCACACCACGCCCACCAAACCACACCCACAGATCCAGTAGTAAAAAAATGTTTGAATCCCACCACTGCTCCGGGATGAGGGACGGAATCTTCGCCGCGGAACAGTAAAGCTCCGTCCGCCAGAGGCAGCAGGACCAAAGCCCCGCTCCCAACTGGCCCTTCCTCCCTCTGAGGGTAGGGACCCGGCTGCCCTGCTGGCTTCCCTCCGAGAGTCTCTGCTCTCCGGGGCTGTAATTGTGCAGTGTGTGTGCATGTCCCTATGTTTTCCACAGGGGTCACGGATGGGCTCTGGAGTCGCTCCATGCCGTGAAAGAAAGAGAAAGAGAGAAAGAGAAAGGAAGGAAGGAAGAAATAAAGAAAAAAGAAAAAAGAAAGAAAAAGAAGTGGGAGAAAGAGATGAAAGAAAGAAAGAAAGAAAAAAAGAAAGAAAGAAGGAAGGAAGGAAGGAAGGAAGGAAGGAAGGAAGGAAGGAAAGAAAGAAAGAAAGAACGTATGACCACAATTGAGCCCAACAACAGCGTTGTTAAGTGAGTTTCACTACATTTTCCAAGTTGGCCACGCCCACCTGGTCACATGACCACCGAGCCACTCCCACAAAACAGGTCACACCTACAGAATAGGTTCTAAATAATTTTGAAACCCACCACTGGTATCTAACTATCTATATCATCCATCCATCCATCCATCCATCCATCCATCCATCCATCCATCCATCATCTATATCTACAGTATCTATTTATTTATCTATCTATCTATCTATCTATCTATCTATCTATCTATCTATCTATCTATCTATCTATCATCTATCTATCTATCTGTCTGTCTGTCTATATTTATTTATCATCTATCTATCTATTTATCTGTATATCTATCTATCTATCTATCTATCTATCTATCTATCTATCTATCTATCTATTTATCTATCATCTAGCTAGCTTTCTAGTTACCTATCTATCATTATATTTATCTATTTATCTAACATCTATGTATATATCTAACTACTCATGGTCTGTTCCCATGTGTGCTCCCAGACAGAAATGTTTTTCATCTTCATCATCTCTAGGAAAGGTTCACCCCAAAGAGGAAAGGTCCCCATTCCCCTTGTGGGTTTCTTTCGGGATTCGACATAAAAGTTGCTAGGCCATCCTGTTATCTCAACCACTAACGGCCTGACCCTTTTCTGAGTTACTTTGAGCTTGTTTACTAAACCTAGCCCTATCTCTTATCTCAAGATGTTCCTCGGTGCCTAACAAGATGGGCCTTTCTCTCCCACTTCATTTGGGAGTTGGTTTATACCCAAGATTCTTTTCAAAATGACTAAGAACAGCTGGGTGAATTCTGGGGAATGTTGCAAGGTTTTTGTTTCTAAAATTCCAAGACCCAAACTGCCCTGCTGTAAGCAAACAGCAGCAGGTGTCCTGGAAGCTGTGACTGCTCCCATTGTGGTTTTCTCCACCATCCAATTCAATAGAAATATTTTCTTTCCTGAAATTAGCCCCTTGTCAGCCAACGGTTCAAATCATATTTAATGTCATGGAGGATTTTATTTAAAGAAGTATATCTGTCAGCCTCTGCTTCGCTTACTTGCTATCGGCTGCCATAGAAACGGGGAGGGTGGGGGACATGGCATTTGGGATGGGAATAAATGGCACAGGAGGTGACATGGAAAAGGGAGTTTTCTTCTCACCATCTTCTGCACATGCTGGTGGCCAGTGTTTGGACCTGATCAAGGCCAACTGTCCTTCATACCAACCTGATGATGCCTTTTGGAGATGCATCCCACATGACACCTAAGGGAGTTGCAGATTGGACACTGGGGTGGGGTCATTGGAGGGAGGGGGCTGGGTTATCATTTGATATGCCCCTGAAGAGTGTTCGGAGACTACAGTTGGTCCAGAATGCAGCCGCACGAGCGATATCGGGTGTACCTCGATACACCCATGTTACACCTATCCTCCGCGAGCTGCACTGGCTCCTTATCGGTCTCCGAACGCGCGTCAAGGTGCTGGTTATCACCTTTAAAGCCCTACATGGCCTAGGACCTGGATATCTGCGAGACCGCCTCCTGCCACATATCTCCC